GCCCCGCCACCTGCCAGCCCAGATTTAAATCCTTTTTTTAGCACAGATGGTGGCTGTAGGCCTGCAGTGCGGAAGGCCAGCAGCCTCAGCCGTGTCTCTCTGCTTTGGGTCTCACAAGGCTGAGCTTCCGGGAGGCTTTGGAAGGGAATGTGTTTCCTTACTTTTTCAGGTGGTTGGCAGAATTCAATTCCCTGTGGTTGTGGAACTGAGGTTTCCATTTTCTTGGGGGCTTTCTATTATTTTTTAGTAGGTCATTATTTTTTTTTTAAAGAGAGATCTTTGCTATAGGACGTGTGCATTTGCCAAGAGATAGAGAGAGACAGAAAGCAAGAAATCACTCCCCAGGGGGATGGCGACACCATAGTCCCTTCTCCTCCAGTCCTCTCAGAATTGTGGGCATACACGCACATGTGCCCAGCATGAGTTTCAAGCAACCGGGTCCAGGACTTGAACTATGGCCAGATATGTGGGAGTCCAGCAACAGCATAACCATTATACCACCTGCTGGCACCTTAATATTTTTTTTTAAGATTTATTTATTTAATTGTATTTATTAGTATTGTTTTCCATTTGCTATTTGCAATCATTAGAAAGAGACAGAGAGAGATAAAGTGAGAAAGCAAACCACCAGGTCCGGGACTTGAACCACAGTCGACCATGTGAGAGTCCAGTGCCTTGACCACCACACCACCTGCTGTCTCTCTTGGGGGCTTTCAGCTAAGGACTTTTCTCAGCTTCTAGTGGCCACCCACATTCTTTGGCATGTGTCCCCCTAACTGCTATTCCAAAGCCAGCAATGACAGGTTAATCCTTTTTTTTTTTTTTTCTTTTGAGAGGTTTTTGCTATAGGGCAGGTGCGCTCGCCAGACAGACAGAGAGAGACAGAGAGACAGAAAGCAAGAAATCACCCCCCAGGGAGGATGGCCATGCCACAATTCCTTCTCCTCCATTCTCCTCTCGGGATCTTGGGCACACACGCACACGCGCCTGGCGTGAGTTTTAAGCCACCAGGTCCGGGACTCAAACCGCGGTTAACTACGTGGGAGTCCAGTGACATAGTCATTATGCTAACTGCTGGTCCCCAGGTTAGTCCATTTTATACCTCCTCTCTGCAAACCTTCCCTCCATCTTCTTCAACCTTTAAGCATCTTGTGATAACACTGGGCCCACCCAGATACTCCAGGACAGGAGACTCAACCCCTAGGCCATGGACCTATACCAGTCTGTGGCTTGTTAGGAACCAGGCCATACAGCAGGAAGTGAGTGGCAGGCAAGCAAAGTAAAGCTTCATCTGCATTTACAGCCGCTCCCCGTCGTGCACATTACCCCTGAGCTCCTCCTCCTGTCAGATCAGCAGTGGCATTAGATTCTCATTGGAGCCTGAGCCCTGTTGTGAGCTGTGCATGTGAAGGATCTAGACTGCACCCTCCTTCTGAGAAGCTAATGCCCAATGATCTGAGATGGAACTGAGGCGTTGATGCTAGCACTGGGGAACAGCCGCAAATACTGCATTCTGGTGAGTTGTGTCCTTATTTCATTATGTATTACAGTGTAACAATAGTAGAAATAAAACGCACGATAAATACAATGTGTTTGAATCATCCCCAAACTGTCCGCCACCCCCTCCCCAGTCCGTGGGAAAAATTGTCTTCCACAAAACCGATCCCTGGTGCCAAAAAGGTTAGGGAGCCCTCCAAGATAAGCTCCTCAATTTAAAGCAGGCTAGTTGTCAACCTTAATTGCATCTGCAAAGCACACACGAGCAAGACCAGGAGTGGAGATTGTGGGGTGCAATCCTCTCTAGCGCAGCTGAACCCACACCTCCCAATATCACGGGGACTGCTTGCTAATTTGGCTCCTCCAGTAGGTATGAAGGAGGCCCAGTAGTGAGTTGCAGAGTTGATACCCCCACCCCAGAGTCAGCATCTCAGGTTACAGCAGGCAGAGCCTCACCTTCCCAAAGAGAACGGTGGCCTTGGGACCAGCAGTTAGCGTAATGACTATGTCGCTGGACTCCCATGTAGTTGACTGCAGTTCAAGTCCCGGACCCGATGGCTTAAAAAAGAGAGAGAACAGTGGCCTTGTCACCCTGCTCTGCAGGCCTGCAGGTGGAAAATGCTCCAGAGCCAGGCTACTTTGGTCTCAGTGCCTGTCACCTATTTGAAGACTGTGTCCTGCCAGATCTGTGACCTTCTGGCTAAAAGCAGAGGAGCTCTCTAGGCCACCTGGGCACCTCTGTGTGAGTGGGTCGGGCTCCAGCTACTCCGAACTCAGGGGCGACTTGGGAGGGGCACTGATGTGGGCCCGGAAAGGTGGTCTTGCCATGAGGACTCTCAGGCATTGGTGGCAGGGACGCAGTGCCAGGGGACCCAAAAAGAAAGGCCTGTGGAAGGCCCCGTGGGTGTCATTTTGCCTGAACTGTCCCCCCGCCACGCACCTCTGTAGCTGGGACGGAGCCAGCTGACCTGCCATCCAAGCTCGCAGCTCGGGGCTGGTCTTTCCTGCCCCCCGGTCCTCCTGTTCTCTCCCCGAGCTCGGTCTGATCTTACAGCAGGTCCATGTTTTGCACGGAAGAGCCCCCGACACAGCAGGAACCCGTGGGTGCTGAGATGGGGGTGTCTGACGCTTTTTCAGCCCTCCAGTCAGCAGCTTCCCGCAGAGCCGTGGCGTCTTCCAAGACTGAACTGACCCCTTGCCCTCTTCCAGGTCACCACGGATCTGCGGCAGCGTTGCACCGACGGCCACACCGGGACCTCCGTCTCGGCCCCCATGGTGGCCGGCATCATCGCCTTGGCTCTGGAAGCTAAGTAAGTACCTGCTTCCCTTGTTTTTTTCTTCCTTTATCTTTTATTTTTATTTTTTATTTTTATTATTATTATTTTTTTTTTTTGGAGAGATTTTTGCTATAGGGCTCGTGCGCTCACCAGACAGAGAGAGCCAGAGAGACAGAAAGGGAGAAATCACACCCCAGGGGGGATGGTCACACCGAGGTCCGGGACACGAACCGCGGTCGACTACATGGGAGTCCAGCGACATAACCATTATACTAACTGCTGGTCCCCCAACTTTTTTTTTTTTAAGGAAGTTTTTGCCTTTGGGCATATGCACTCACCAGAGAGAGAGACAGAGAGACAGAGACAGTAAGAGGGAAAATGAGAAATCACCCCCACCTCAGGGGAGGATGGTAATGCTGCAGTCCCTTCTCCTCCTGGGATCTTGGACATGCACACGCGCCCTGCATGAGTTTCAAGCCACAGGGTCTAGGACTGAAACTGCGGTCAGCCGTGTGGGAGGCCAGCGATGTCACCACTACACCGCCTACTGGTCATCATCCTTAATAGTGTCTTTTTTTCTTTCTTTAAAGAATTATTTTATGGGACCAGCAGTTAGCATAATGGCTATGTCTCTGGACTCCCATGTAGTCGACCGCAGTTCACGTCCTGGACCCGGTGGCTTAAACTCACGCCGGGCGTGTGTGCGTGCGTGCCCAAGATCCCGAGAGGAGAATGGAGGAGAAGGGATTGCGGCGTGGCCATTCCCCCTGGGGGGTGATTTCTCGCTTTCTGTCTCTCTGTCTCTCTCTGTTTCTCTGGCGAGCGCATGTGCCCTATAGCAAAACCTCACCAAAAAAAAAATTATTTTATTTTATTTATCTTTATTTATGTATTTTAATATGACCAGATAGGGACAGAGCACGAGAGAGAACAAGAGAGGGAAAGTGAGAAAGCAAACTGCTAGGTCCAGGACTTGAACCGTGGTCGGCCATGTGGGAATCCTGCTGGTCCCCTTAATAGTGTCTTTCATCACCCCAGACTGACACCCGTCCCCATGAAACTCTGACAGCCTGCAGGAGCCTGCTTGGGCTGCCATCACAGAAGCCAGTGGTCGTGGTGGTGTCCACACCAGAAATGTATTTTCTCGAAGTTCTGCAGGCTGAAAGAGTTCCCTCGGGGCCAGCAGCGTTGCTGTCTTTTTGGCTGGTAGATACCAGCTTCTCCCCGTGTCCTCATTTAGTCTTCCGTCTGTCTGTTTCTATTTCCGGATTATTCATTCATTTACTTAATTATTTTTATTTGAGAGTTTTGCTTAGGGCGCATGTGCTCGCTAGAGAGAAGCAGAGAGAGACAGAGAGAGGGAAAGTGAGACATCACCCCCCAGGGGGAATGGCCACACCACGATCCCTTCTCCTCCAATTCATTCTTGGGATTTGGGGCACGCACACACACACACACACGTGATGTGATCTGCATACCTCCTGGTCCAGGACTCGAACTGGGTTGCAGACCATGTGGGAGTCAAGCGCCTCAATCACCAGGTATTCTGCTGGACCTAGGATTTCCTCTTTTTTTTTTTTTTTTTAGAGAGAGAGAGATTCTTGCTATAGGATATGTGTGCTCGCAAGAGAGACTCAGAGAGAAATTCCCCCCAGGGGGGATGGCCACGCCACAATCCCTTCTCCTCCATTCTCCTCTCGGGATCTTTTTTTTTTTTTTTTTTTTTTTTTTTTTTTTTTTTTTTTTTTTTTTTTAAAATTTATTTTTTACAACTTTATAAT